ACGCTTACGACATTGCGATGCAACTAATGTAGAACCAGCTTAAGACGATGGTGCTGCATGGTGCTGGGCATGCGCATTGCGAACATTAGGACCTCTCTACCTTTCTCTCTCGCACAGATGTTGGATTCACCTTGGTATACAGGCCAGTATAAGCAATGCCTCTTCCAGTAGTATATATTCTAAGGTAGATCCTCTAATCAGAGTCTGGCCACCTGTTGTGAGATTCTCTAAGGCCGGAATCAGACTATGCATTACCCCGGATCTACAATAGAGTTCTAAATCTTAAGCCATAAGAAATGGGCGAATCACAGTCGATTATCTGTCAATCCTCTCGGATTCGACTGTAATTGGTCAATTTCTTACGGCTTAAGTCTTAAAACACCTATTGTAGATCCGGACTTAAAGATTGAGATTGAAGATTGAAGATTAAAATTTGACCAGTGAGGACAAAGGAATTTTAGCTCCTATTGTTTTTATTGGTCAAATTTCAATCTTTCAATCTTCAATCTCAATATTCAATGCGTAGTCTGATTTCGACCTTACCCCGGATCTACAATAGTTTTAAACCTTAAGCCATAAGAAATGGACGAATCATAGTCGATTATTCTCCTCGAATTCAACTGTAATTGGTCAATTTCTTACGACTTAAAGCTTAAAACACCTATTGTAGATCCGGATTTAAAGTTCGCCTCGTGGAAATTTGCTGGAAAATGACCCAGTTTTAGACCTTTAACGAGTGCGTTCGACTTGAGGTCTGCTTAGCGGAACGTCGATCTCGAGAGAGGCTTTCATTTCGTCCCCTTTCCGACCTCTGGTTCCTCTATCTTCGAGGTTCTCAGCACGAAGCGAAGTACCTCCCGATTTGCGTCGCTCCTTCCTCTAGCTCTAGCGGTCCGGAACTTGGACGCGACCAAATCAGTCTAAAATTCGGTTCCTGCTGCGTCCACCCCCTCAGCTCCTTGGCTATCCGGAGCTTGGATGTAACAAAGATAACGTTCACCGTTTTTATAAAAAAAAATGTCAAATATCGTAAAAAAAAAAAAAACATTTTTTACATATTAAACCTCAATTATCTTGAAAATCTGACGTGCTAGAATTTTTTCGCTCGTGGCATCGTTTTTAGTATCCAAAAATCTATAAGAGATACGTAATCCGGTTCAAAATAATTAAAAAAAATATTTTTTGTAAACTAGTGTAATTAAACACTGAAATTCCTATTATTAATGTAATAATCTAATGATCGTCGAATAAGTACGTATACCATATCAAATGCATGGAATTGTTTTCTTTAGTTACTATATGTAACTATTACCAACTATTGTGCCGATCGACGGGCATACGTTTGCTTACTCGACGATCATTAGATTACATTAATAATAAGAATTAATATTTAATTATTTATGAAAGTGAATAGATATGCGCTTTTCCGCTTATAATTGGTAGTAGAGGGCAGTGAGGATAGATTAAAAAATAATGTGCATGAATGAGTAAAGATGCGTTGGGTTGTGTTAAAAATTATAATTGGTAGTAGAGGGCAGCGAGGATAGGTGATAATGTGTATGAGTGCGTAAGAATGCGTTTGGTTGTGTTAAAAAAAATTCGAACATTTCGAAGGGGTGAGGGAAGGTGAGTGTTTAAGGATGTGGTAGGTCATATCAGGAAGTGTCAGCATGTATCGAAGTCTCTGTAGTGGGTGGAAGGGGGATGAGAAAGGTTCGGATTTCGGATGAATAACGAAAATGTTCGATATGGGTGTGGAGGGTGTTTGGGAGTGTGTGTGAGCGTATTCGAGTATTAATTGTCGATTTATAATCGAAACGTGGTGTCCGCGGATACTGACGACGTTTCTTAATTTAATTTACTCCATTTTTACAAAGAAATTGAAATATCTCCCTTAATATTCATCAGAGAAAAAAAATAAAGACTTTCATTACATTCTCCGTGCTATCGATTGAGCCTATTAAAAATTTCATCTGCCTAGCCGTTTTTTAGATATGATCACAGTGTTCCCAGTCAACTCGACGGATAGGGTAAAGATATACTGTAGTGTCTCCTGCGCCCAGTACGAGCGCGTATATTTGGCGCGAGACACTACCGTGTTTCTTGATAATTTTTTGTTCATTCAACTTTTAACTTAACTAAATTAATTTTATAAATTAACTTTAACTTAATTTAGTTAAAAAAAAACATTAACTTAATACCCAACTTTGATAACTGTTATGTAACACCATACTAAGAAAAATTTCTGATTGATAATGGACGAACCAGAAGATTTTGATTATATCAAGCAGAATTCTGATTAATCAAATAAAATTATAACAGATTCAAATAGAAAATTTTATCCACTTTCAACCAAAATTTTAATTAATGCTATCAGATTTTTTCCATGTATTACATTTATTTTAGCTGACGTTAACTAGGGTGTAGATGCCCAGTTCGAATTATTATGCTATCAAAATTATTATCACGATTTTTTCCATAATTGTTGATTTTTGTGTGTAATGGTGGATCGCTTTGACAAAACGAGCGATTCTTCTGATGTGGGATCATGCTTTGCAGTTTTCTTCGATGCGTTACTCACTGTTAAAATCAAATAAAATATGAATTAATAATTATTAACAATTATTAAAATTTAAATGATTTTAATAATTGTTGTGTTTTAAAAAATCAATTATCAGAAATTAATACAAAATTTCTTTTTTGTTCTCAATTACTTTGATGATGTAGCTCTAAAGAAAACATGAAGATATTTAAGGGGATGCTGGAGTGATCAAATTGTCGGGACATTGCAGATCGATATAAATTTCCGAATTTACTGAACGGAATCAAAAATCTTTTTACAGAATTAAAGTAGACGCAAAATTGGGAGGTGCGGCAGTGGACTATATACTAAAATAAAAAAAAAGTTAAAAACTTACATTTTTTCAACTCGTAAAGCTTCACTTGACGTAAATGTTTTCTTAATACAAAAATTTTATAGCTCATATGGACAAAACGATAGTTCAGCACCCAGTCTTTTACATGCACAAACGATACTGAGTTTATGAAACTAAGATTAAAAGCTTTAAAAAGAAATATTTCTATCGATCTCTGCAAATTACGTATATATGAATGCTAAGTGAAAACTCGGAATGGTAAACAAAGCAATAATTGTGTCTAGCAGTAGGTATTCGATCTTGCAAGAGATGGCGTGCAAGAGATTGCAATATATTAGATAAGGACAGATGTATGCGTTTGAGTGAGACAGAATGATAATGTAAAAAATGAATTAAAGATGTCACTATTATTGACCTTTTTTATTTGGAATTTAGGATTTTGGCTACGTTTACACCGTGCATTTAGGCCGCGGTCTATACAATAGATGTCCTTGTTTATCTTGTAGGTTAAACAAAGACATCTATCGTATAGGTCGCAGAATAAGCGCATGGTGTAAACGTAGCCCATATCATTTGATCGGTTGGCGGAGGTCGTGTGAGAATTTTGCAACTGCAAAAATAGGTTTCTGAATTGAATATTTTGGACTGAAGGAAAGTTAAGGACGATAAGGATTTGATTCGTCTAACGGTACAAGATCTCGTGAGATTTTATTTAATTTCTAGTTCTGCTAGGCGACGGTACGGTAACGTAAGCTAGTTAACCTAAAAGTGATACAGACGAAGACTACAAATCCCCCCCCCCGTAATAACGGGGGGAATTTGGTTTCCTATTGAATATGGATTCCACAACAAAAGGCGTTCAAAAAGAAATTATGAATTGGTCTGCAGTTACAAACAATAAGAGGTAGGTTAATCTTTCCAACGAAGATGTATCTTGCAAAAAGCCGCTGGTGAATGAACACCCAGGAATTAAACAATCAGCATCGAATTCAATGGAATTGAAAAAAAGCAAAGGATACCAATTCTCCTATTGTTAAGTATTTCCAGAAGGATAATAAATGGTCCATTCACTATTTGGATTCAGCCTGACTGCAACAACGACAAGGAAAAACAAAAATCACTTCAAGTAAGCCCATATAAAGTTGGTAATCTGATCTGCAAAAAGTATCATAGCATAGATTACATAAGCAGCAAATCTAAATCTCGGGTCGAAGTTAATTTCAAGAACACAAAGGAGGCGAACCAATTAATAGATGATCCTATACTAAAAGTCAACAACTTGAAAGTATTCATCCCGAGTTTTAGATTAACAAGAAGAGATCTCATTAAAGGTATTGATGAGGATATTATAGAGGAGGAGATCCTTAAGGAATTGGAATCAGAGTTCCAAATCTTGAGAGTTAGAAGGCTAAATAAAAGAAATCGAGATCCTAATAAACAGGAAGGCGACCCGAAATGGATGGCAAACAAATCTGTTGTCATCACATTTTCTGGTCAGAATTTGCCCACCGTAGTATATCTATATAAAATCTATATAAAATCATTGAGGTCGAGCCCTATACGATCCTTTCCATCATTTGTTGCAACTGCTTCAAACTAGGACATACTGGATCAATTTATAAAAAATGAGGCTAAATGTAGTATGTGCGGCGAGATCAAACATCAGGGTAACTGTCTTCACGGTTTTGCTATCTGTTCCAATTGCCAAGGAGATCATATATCATCAAATAAAAATTGTCCTATATTTAGGAAGGAATACGAAGTCAAGAGATTGATGGCTTATGAAAACATAGTGATGTTAGAAAAATGGTTTTTAATCACCCAAAGAAGAAATTTAAACCAGGTCCTAAGGAATTTCCAAATCTTCAAAGTAAACCTTTTATTCCATACAACGAAAAGATCAAAGGTCGAAAGACTTTATCCACAACTTCCAAGCTTGACGGTGATCAGAAAACTCAAGAGAATAAACCTATAAATTTCTACAAGTTCCAAAAAGAAAACTGAAGACTTCATTGGAAGTAGGGAGGTTCCCCTTCATCAGTTGGATTAGCCCTTGGTCAAGAAATCATTGCTAAGAGGACATCTCAGGACAACAACACCCTCAATCGGAAACCTGGCTCATCAAAATCAATAGACTCCTACACGCTTGTGCAAATAGCCCGTAGTCAACGAGTTATACTCAAAGATATTTCTAATACTCTAGATCAAAAGGTAAAGGGATGCTTTAGCAGACAGACTTCCTTCTATTAATTTACAGAAATTAATTAAAACATACTTAAAATCGCAAAAAAATATAAATATAAATAGTAATTTTTATTAAATTCGTTCAAGATAATATTTCTTAAATCATTAATACCATGATCAAGCTAAAGATCCTGGAATGAATCTGTAGAGGAATAAGAGATAAGATTTATGAATTGGAGAGACTTTTTCACGAGTGGGACATTATTATGTTTAATGAAACTTTTTTGAAATTGGAATTACTAGAGTTTCATATTAATGGATTAAAAACTGTGAGATTCGATAGATTATATAGCAATGAAGGGGGTAACGCCTTTCTAATTAAAAAATATATGATTTTTGAAACTGTTGAACTCTGTTTTACTCCTAGTGCCTTGGAGACAGAATGCGTATCAGTAACTACCTCAGTAGGCAATAATAATCTTACTCCTTTTGAATGGCAAAAATTTTTAGATACAATCAAAAAGCTCGGTGATAAATTTTGCGTTGGAGGGGATCTGAATGCGCACCATCCTTCTTGGGGAAGTGATCACTGCTGTCATAATATGGCAATATTATTTATAATTTCACAGATCCAGAAGATTTCATAATTTTAAGCAACGGCAAATCAACTCATATATCAGGTCCTAACCACAGTAAATCTTGCATAGATTTATCAATAGTCTCTCCTTCACTTGCTTTGAGTAGTGAGTGATCGGTAGAAAATGATAATTGGAAAAGTGATCACTTTCCCATTTCGATTAGACTAGATGTAACGGTTGAATACATTCCGAAACCCCAATACAAATATAATGTTAATAAAATCAATTGGTCCAAATTCAGCGAATTCTGGGCGGTCAATAATGTGTTTAACTCTATGGAATTTGTAAATTCATCGGTCTGTAGTGGATACTCCTTTTTGTTAAACTAAATAATAGGAGCTGTTGAATTTTCTTTACCTAAAAAACAGTTAAAAGAACTGATTTAGTGTTGTTCAACAATCATTATAATAAAAAGAAACCGCCAGCGGTTTGAATAGTAACTGCGAAAGGGCGATTAGAATTAAGAAGGCTAAATGGTTGTCCCTACAATATAAATTTACAAAGGAAGAATTCTTTGAATTTAAAAAAATAGAGGCTCAAACAAAGATTATATTAAAAAAAGAAAAAAAGGCTTTTTTAAAATTTTGTGAATCTTTAAATAAAAATAGTAAAAGTGGTGGGGTAATTAATCAGATCAGGGCCCTCCCCCAGTGACCTTGATCTTGACATATGTTGTCAAGGTCATGACCCTGAGTGACCTCCAACAAGTTTTAGCCGTCGCTCCAGCATCCCCTGAAGAGATATCCTAATAGTACTTTCTTAATGTGTACGTACGTTCCTCAAATTGTGGTTCTATTTTAACTACGCTACCGATACTCTCCCTTGATGATGTAAAGGCACTTATGCGACTCGTACTCTTCAAATGATCTATCGTGCCAGCGGAACTATCATAAGGACTGAAAGGCGATTTAATCGATGAAGGAAAATATGGTAACTCGATGTTCTTGGCTATCAGCAATTTCTTAACGTACGCTTCAGCTTCTACATGACGAATCGTGAACTCTGCGATATCTTGAAGAACTAGGGCGTTTTGTTCTTGAAGCTCTCGTAATTCAACTTCTCTCTGCAGAAAAGCATCTCGAGATAAAATCGTTAAAGGACATGATTTAATAGCAGATCTTTTTCATTTGTTACCTACCTGTTGCAGAAGCACAGTGTCGTCCCTTTTAGAGATATATAAATTTTGTATATCCTTCTGTACCTTACGAAGGCTCTTATCTGCTCTGGATATCTTCTCTTCTTGTTCTGTCGTTTGTTTTTCAATACCTGATAAGTAACGTTCTTTATCTTCCTTTTCTTCTTTGGTTTTTTCAATATCGTTGAGCAATTGAGTATAATCATTCTGCGTTTTCTGCCCGATAAAATTGAAACATTAATTTTCTATATTTTATTGCTATCAATTACGCTTAATCAATTATGCTACTCCAATATGCTTAATTTTATATTTTGCACGAGTTAAATATTTAATATATGCATTATTTGCAACAGAAAAATATAGATTTTTTTATGATATAAAAATAATATATAACTAAACAAATCAACTGAAAACAATTTTGTCGTAATCTTTACTTTTTAGATCTTTCTGTTGCTGTCATCTCTTTGTGTATAAACGCATAGTTTTTATTTCTTACTATCCTGATAAATACCATTTTATCTTCTTTTAATTATATCAATTTTTTGATAAGTACAAAAAGCTCTCCTACCGAAGTCGAAATTAAAACTCGACATAAATTAACGTAATATCAATGTTAAAATTTTGCACTCAACAATGTAATAAAAAACGCAGCGTTACATATTAATTTTAATTGGTGTTGATATGTACAAAAAAATACCTGTAATTTATCAAACAATCGTTGCAGTTGCGTTTGCTTTTGCAATAGCTTCTGTCGTGCATTATGCATCTGCTCATCGAGCCTGTTTTGTTCCGTCCACTCAGGTCCGTCTTGATCAACCATGCTCATACTGTCCCTATATTTGTCATTACATACGTTTATTACACGCAATGTGTTTTCCATGCTACGTATTTCCTGCTCTGTTCGTCTGATTGTTTCGTCCAGTTTGTCGCCTTGTTCTCGCAACATGTACCGCTCTTGAGCACTCTGTATCTTTAAGTATGCGGTGCTCATCGGCGCCCCATCCACAGTAGTACCTACTGTCGCAACGCTGCTGTCATATCGCACCTGCAATTGCCGTATCCTGCTTTTTCTTTCAGTAATAGCAGTACGCATCTCCGAACACTCGTTGCCGGTGACCCTCTTCTGCATGGCGAGCGCTTCTTTCTGCGCTGCGATCTCTGCTGCACGTTCTTTAAGCGTCTGTGAACAAAGGTGAATATATATGTCAAAGATGATCCGACTTTACAATTTGCCACTGTATAATCGATTTCATATCATAGAATCTTCTGTTACAAAGCCATTAGCGGATCCACGGAGGGAAAGTCATTTCTGAAATGCTTAATCACAATTTTAATATTCCAAAAAATTTTTTTAATTTAAGGAATTCCTAGATATAAAAAATATAAAGGCAACAGTATTCACAGTCTGTTCTTATTTTAAGACTTTTTTAAATAATGTCTTGAGATACTAATGCAATTCTCTGATTGGCTTATGACATCTTAAGACTAGAGTCCTATATTATCAGAGAAGCGCAAATAGGTTTCACTTGCAAATTGGCTGAGGTGTCACCAATCAAAATCGAGAATATTGGGTCCGCAGCTGATCGCTTATAACAAGGGTATTTTCCAGAACACAGAACATTAAACTGTGTTCCACTGTATAAGATACTTGTTGGAACGCAGTTTAGTTTCGTAATGTAAAGTGTAACACCAAAATGCATTGTAGTGTAGGGTTTGACTTAAATGTCTATTAAAATATTATGTTGAAATTGTTTTAAATTATTGATGTTAAATTTAAATAAGCGAAAGGTAAAATCGTGCGTGTCGTTTGCAAATGTTTCGTCGTTTGGATAAAAAAAGAAAAGAAGAACGGAGAGCGCGTTCTGACATAAAAGGCGTGCTGTCAATTTAGAAAATAAATTCTCTTTCGTCATTAATTTCTGTCTCCATTTCTTGACAAGACTAATTGAGAATTACAGAGACTCGCATCTCCATAGTAGTCTTCCATTCTTATTCTCATGATATTTAGCGTATCAATAATAGATTTATGATTTTTATTTAGATTTAAGTTATAATTTTTTCAGAATTAACAATTATTGACGGTTTTATTGCAAAATAAGTACGGCTAGCAAATAATTTTTTGAAAAGTTGATAACATTGACATATTTTACACGCTTATGCTTAGCTTTGGTAAATATTTACCTTTACACAGTCAGCTCCAAATGACCCCCAAATGACCTTGACCCTCAAGGAGGTCAAGGTCAGTGACCTTTTCCGTCGCTCATTATTCATTAAAAAGTTATGAACGGAACAATTTCTATGAATAGCACACAATTTTTAAACATAAGATATTTCAGCAGTATTTTCCCTTGACAGGGGGAGGTGGAGACCTCGCTTTACATGGAAAGTCATGCGCCTCTTGGCAGAGGGGAGGTGGAATGGGAATCGCTTCAGGTGAAAGTTGCGCGTCCCCAAGCACAGGAGGAGGTGGGGTGGGAGTCATTTCAAGTAAAAGTCATCAAAATAATCAAGATACTTAGTCAAGATCAATGTAGTGTCGATGTATTGAAAATTGATTTTTCAACATTAATTAAACTTTATTTTTCATTTTTTCTTTTTTTCTACCGAAATTAAACAATTTTCCAATTTTTTGTACGTTTTGCATCATAAAACCATAATGGAGGCCACTACGAAAGAAATCTCATAGCGATTCGGCAAATTTTTTGTAGATGCAAGATACTTAAAAGCACAAAAAAGTGAAGAATAAATTTTTTTGATGATCCACACAATTGTTTCTTGAGTAAAAATAAAAAAGGAAAAAATTGCTAATTTTTATGATACTTTAAATCATTTGTATCATGTTTCTTAAAAAATTTTAGCAACTACACTATCAAATAGAGTAAAGCTTTAGCTTTAGAAATCTCTTTTTAAAATTGCTGTACGGTAATTTTT